CACTTTTCATTTAAAGATAAATCTGAACGAAAACACTGTTCAAAATCCGGAAAATATTCCAGCATAATATACTAGAGTTCTAGTATAATATACCGGTCCAGCATAATATGCTGGAAGTTCATACACAGGTGCACAAATCTCCAGTATATTATGTTAGACTGGTCCGTATTGTAGCAAAGTAGTGACTATTTTTCAATGATTTTGCAAACGCTGGCTATTTTTGTATTACCAGTCCAAAAACTTACTAACCCGTGCTATTTTGCTATTTATGACGGATGTGATCCGAACGACGGGGAGACAAATAGACTCTACCTAGTGGTTTCGCCTTAAACACATGATTATTTTTTTCAGAATCAAATCATACCTTACGACAAAAGAAGGAGAAAGGACAGATCATTTGTCCATTTGTGATAAGAAATTATGATGAAAGGAGGAAAAGGGACGAATCGCCTATCGATTTATGATACTCAAAACTTTAAGAATGGGATACATACAGATTGACAAGCACAAAAAGATAGACTTGGCTATTAAACTATGCACGTTGATGAGACAACACCATAAAGAATAGAGTATAGCTTTTTTTTACCCCCCTTATTACTTAAAAGTAAAGTGCAGAGACTTCGAAATCCTAATTTGATTGGATTTAGAATGGAATGGAATAATAAATACACTTGCGATTAAGTTAGATCTTGCCTTCGCTTCACTTCAAGAATTTGTTTTACAAAGGAAATACTACTTTTTCTTTGAATGGGAGAAGCCAGCTCAAAAGGCAGCTTTGATCGGCTGCACCCAACACCCATCCTTTTATACAGGGGAAATATAATAGCAACGGCGAAAGCAAATAGTTCTCCGATATTAGAAAATGGCTAAATTATCAAAGAGAAGTAGAATGTAGCTCAGTTGCGTGGTCAAATTACTTGCTTAGCAAGCGGGATGACTTGAGTTCAACTCTCATGCAAGTGCATTTCAAACATGAAATATAGGCAAGACATCTTGAACCAGTGGAACTGAAGCAAGCACCTGATCCAGCTATTCAATATGCAAATAGACAGAGTGACGTGACATGATAAGTGGGTAAAATCTATAAACATGTCCTCTTGAAAAGTAGACCACATATAAACATTGAGGGGTGTCTCCAAATTCAGAAACAAATGGCGCCCAATATGCTTGTATCAACTCAATATAAAATCAAACAGAAACATAACTCTTGACGCCAACCAAAACTTTCTCAATAGGTTATTAGTTAGACAACAATATACACCAAATATTTCAAAGTTATCGTGTAATATATGCGAAAGTTCATGTCACACATTGTCTGGGTACTGGGGGTCCTCCTTTCCATACCCTTAAGATCTTGGCCATAGTTGAGCCACACGCTACTAACAATCTCACTGACCACAGAGGAAGCCAGATCAAGCTTCATGTCAAGCCCATTTTAGTCTACTCATTTACCCAAACCCACCTCTTCCACAAAGGCCCCCAAAATGAATCGAGCAACCAAGGTCAAAACATGTTACCTATCATAACTCCAATGATCAAATCGAGGTATCTATTATGAATTGCCAACTACAGCATTGATACCTAAGGAAGAGGTTTGAGGTAAGATTATGTGATGATATTGCTGATGCTGATGGAAGATACCACAACAGTTTGTGTGATAAGCCATGAACTATCATGTTACAAGCCTATTTTGATGAACACACTTGAAAAGCAATCCTTTCTTGATTGTGTTGTGGTGGCAAGGTAGATCATTGGCATTAGAGGAGATGCACAGAGGAAGAGCAGCAATAAGTGTTCAGTCTCTTGACAAGAAGCGTAAACAGAGTGGACTGCTCTAGATGCCTACATCACCTTTAATTGTACACAGCACATATTCTATACCAACAGTCCAGAGAAAAAAGATATTCTGGAGCTCCCTTCAACTCTCTGTAAAGACACTGCGAGCAAACCTGCAACAGAGTTGGAAATTACAACTCTAGTGCATGGATCATGTTGGTAGCCACTTTAGATACTTCCAACAAAGTCCTATCGAAAGCACACAGATATAATTTTCCTTAGTTCGGTATCACCTTTCAACTATCACTTTTAACACAAGGAGTAGCACATTGGACAAGACCAAAGGCGTATCCAAGATTTGAACTTTAAGGGCTCGTTTGGTACGAGGGATAAGGAATAATTAATCCCGGGACAACATTTAAGAAGAGTTTATCCCATGTTTGGTTGGTAGAAAAGTGCAGTATAATTAATCCCGGGATTGTAGTGTTTTTTATCCCCATGGGAGGGTGGAATAACTAATCCCAGGATAACTAATCCTGGGATGACTTCTTTCCAACTAAACGACCCCTAAGAGTTTGAGTTTGAAATTCTATCACCACTCATTTTGATTTACTGGGTTTCAAATCAATTAGTAGTACTTAATTAGTGGATTTTTTTATCACATATACAAGGTCCAATGCAAAACTACTGAGTTCAGATGAAATCGTTAGATTGAATAGTCTACATTCGCCCCTGGACAAGATGTCACATTATCAGAAAACAAAGATGTTCAATATCCAAATGCAAGAGGGAAAGCATCATAATCGATCGAGATATTTGTTCAACGTGATACACTGTATATTACCCGATGAAAATGGAGGTCGAGCTGCTCCATGACACTATTACAGTTATTTAATAGACCTTTACATGATCCGCAACATTTCAATACTAATATGAACAACAAAGTCACAGTACAATTCAACGCATTTGTTCATCAAATTCCAAAGCATCAATAACAAATGCATTCAAGTAATTACAGACCTCTTATACTACTTCTTTAGCCGGAGCAGCATCTTTCTTCAACTCATCATTCACAACCTTAGTCGAAATAGCTACGTACCCCATCTTCTTAGGACTAACGTCATCATCACTGTCATCCTCGGAATCCTCAAAATCAAAGCGATTGGGCCAGAAAAGGGACCAGATCATGTACATCGTCGCGGCGGTCAACGCCCCACAGCCTACGCCGAAAAGCAAAGCTCCGACGACTCTCATGATATCCTTTGAACGATCACGAACGGAGCTCGTCACCGACGAGTAAAATTCCACCGGAATCATCATTGACGTCGAAGCTCGACTCTCCAGTTCGTCCACCTGTTCTACGGCGTCGTCTCGATCGTAGAAGATCGGGTCGGGTCCACGGATTAGTATGGGATCGGATCTCCGGAAGAAAATTGAGGGTCTATTGAGCCCGAATTTTGAACTGCCGTCACGGAAACTGATGGAGCTGAAGGAGAAAGTTAGGAATTGAAGAGAAATAGAGGGGTTAGGGAGGAGAAAATTAGGGTTAGCGTTTTGAGAAGTGGTGGTTGTGGGGATGTGATAGTAGGAAGTGGAAGTGATGAAGAATAGGGTTTTGCATGGTCTAGCGGCGGCGGAGACGGCGAGGAGAGAGAAAGCGAGAAGTAGAAGAGTGAAATTCGAGGTCGCCATTGACGCGTAGAGAGAGAAGGGGATCAGGAAATTAACAATTACGATTATGGCTTTAATTGAAACTTTTGGGGAAGGAAATTATAAACTTTAGTGATGCATATAAATGTAACCTTTTTTTTTTTTTCTTTTTCTTTTTTTTTTTACAGATTTTAAAGTTAAACTGTAAATTACGTTTCTAAATTGATTCTCTCTTTCTCTCTCTTATATTTTTTTTTCGCATGTCTATTGAATACGTTTGGTTGTTTTGCAAGTCGACCGGCGAAAAAATAAATAATTTTTGGATTAATAGACAATGCATTATTTTCTTCTTGATGAAGTTTGTAATTATAAATTATAAACGATTATGTACTTATAATTCTCTAATTCTTTTTTTCTAAATTTAAACTATTATTAATTCAAGTAATAGATAATATACAAGTTTAACCTATACTTATATTTTCTTTTGATAACACATAACTCGCTATTTCTTAATCGCGTTCAAATTGAAATGTTTATGTGATCGATTCGAATCAATTTTGGGCAGCTGAACTTGGTTAGATCCACCTGAAACTGTATCAAGATTTGGTTAAGTAGAAGACAACTTCACTTACGTATTAAGATGATGATTGATGCATGTACCCAATAAATCGTCGTTATTACTACAGTGGAAAAGTTCAACATGTGTGCTGCAAATACTAGCGCCACTAATGAACCCAGCATTTTTAACCCGAAACATAAATTTATACGTAAAACTAACTAAAATTATAACAAATAATAGATATAAACCTATAATTTTAAAAAAATATATAATAAGTTCAATACTAAAAATTTAAAGCTTAGAACTCGCAGACTTAAATTCTAAATCCACCGATGAAACCTAGTGGCAATTGGCTAATGGAGTAACGACTATTTTGAGCGTTAAGAATCTGGCATATTCTGCTTTCTGTTTTAATTTACTTCCTTAATAATGTGATCCAAATTCTGAATCATCTTTTCACCATTATGGATGTGTTTGGCAAGAAGGAAAATATTTTTCATAGAAAATAAATGGTTTTATTACTTATTTTTCTTTATTTGGTAGGTAAGTGTTCCGAAAAATATTTTCTAATATTTGTTTAGAGGATAAAAAATTCCTCTCCTCACACCTCCCCTCCCTCAAGTCCCTATGTTTCCTTGCTCTCCCAAATACCCAACGTTTTCAGGATTTTATTTTCTTTAATAATTTAATTATTCTTTTAAAAATTTATATAAATCCAAAGGAACTAATGTGCTGCTTTATTTTTTTACACAAAAATAGCATTGAAATTTGTGCTCCATAAATAAAAAAAAATATTCTTTTTTTTTGTTGAAAAAGAAAGTACTATTTCTACAACATAAAAATAAAGTACTCATTGAAATAAAAAAAAATACTTTTTCTACATCATGAAAAAATATTTTCTCTAATAAAGGAAAATATTTTTATTCAATTGGAAGAAAATGAGTACTACGTATTTTCCAAATCATTTAAGCCGCGCTAAAATTTGAAACCTTCGTACCAAACACACCCTCTGTATCCCCTGTTTCTTTTTGTGTCAGCTAAGTGACAGAGGAAAAGCTGAGCAAAGGTTAGGGGAAGAGAGGAAAAATTAAAGAAGATGAAGAAAATATTTTCCAACAAGATCAAGAAAGAGGAGCTCAAGGCTGGAGATCACATTTACACATGGCGACTCGGCTATCTCTACGCACATCATGGTACAGCTCTCTTTTACTTTAAGCTCGTTAGTTTGAGTTCAATTCTCCTTTGAATAGTACCTGCTTTTTCTGCAGTTTTTTTTCATTGATGAAATGATTGATCGATCAAATTACTGGGTGTCTTTTACTTCTTGTTGCAATAATTAAGCCCTGATGTAGTTCTCTTGAAATTGAATACTACTTTGTTTGTGAACTGAAAATTTTGGGGGGGATTTCGAGTCTGGAAAAAACAAATCTGCTCCTTTTTGGTCGTGCAGCTGAACGTAAAGCTATACTCTTAATGCAATACATTTAAGTGCTACTGCCTGGATTTGAGAATGGTTCAAGGTGTAACAGATAGATGGTATGAGAATTATGTCTTGTTTAGATATTTGGGAATTAAATATATTGTTGAAAGTGTGTCTAAGTGTTGATTATAACAAGTAGTTGAAAGTGTGTCTAAGTGTTGATTATAACAAGTAGTTGAAAGTGTGTCTAAGTGTTGATTATAACAAGTAGTTGAAAGTGTGTCTAAGTGTTGATTATAACAAGTAGAGTTGATCATGAATTGGGAAATTTGAAAAAGGAAAATAGATGACTTAATTCCACACATAAGTGAAGGAAGTCTGATCATTTTCTTGAAACATTTTCCTCATTTTGGTGAAAAATATTTTTCTTGAAGAAAACATATTTTGGATCTCAAGGTAACCAAGCACTGAAAAACATTTTCTTGATGATTAGATTTTCGTAGAGTATCTTTTTGATCAATATCAAATAGAAACTGTTTCTAAGTCCTTTCAACTCCTACATCTAACCCCGCCAGTTCTACAGTTCTATGTTGTTTTCTTCACTCGAAACCATTGAACCATCCGTTCCAATTCCATTGAGCTATGGGCTATACTTTGTCACAAACTCTAAACTCAGAGCCATTTATTCTATTGAGCTATGTGCTCCACTGCTTTGGGATTTACTCTCTCACAAACTCTAAGCCCATTGAGCTATCCATACCTTAAACGATCTTGGGTGTCTGCACTTAAAATTTTGGATTTCCGCCTTAAAATTTTGAGTTGGATTTATGCATTCTCAAAGTTTTAGCGAATATGATGTAATAGTGGTGGCAAAATAGTTAAAAGAAATCAGTTAACCACTCATATTATCCACTAAAAAATGGGTTGAATAATGAACATTTTAAAAACGGATCAAATATGGATAAGAATCATATTAGATAACTGATGGGTTTAACTTTTACATTTGTAAAGCCTCAAATTTGGGGTTCCTCAAGTTTGAAAGACTAGGAATTCTCCCAAAAGTGATCATATTCAAGAAGTCATGGATAATTTGGTAGATATAGTTGATGACTTGATAGCATAACTCTGTTCACTTCTCGAGCAACTCTTGTTGTTCTCGGGGATAAGAATGTGGTGCAGTTGCAGGGCAGCTTTTGTTAGAAAATACAAGTTTAACAAAAGTGCAGGATAAGATTGCACTGATCTCTTTTCATTTCGTCCATTTTCAACTTCCCAAAGTTTTATTTCGAGCATTTTGTGTCAAAGTGGACAACTAATCACTGTGAGATTGTGTTGATAATCATTCTCCTTTCCACATTTTTTCACTTTGATTGTGTCCAATTTAAGTCTCAATTCTTGAGATCAAAGTCGACGGAACATTGCTTGAATCGTGTAATGAAATGTCCTTGTGCAGCACCTTGAACATCCATCTTGATTTAGAGTTCTTAGCAATGACAAAGGCAAATCCTTTCTTGCCTTAATCAATTGTATGATTTAGAGTTAACTAGTCAAAACTTCTATCAAAATGTTGGAAGTGACGAATCGGCTTCTTAGTGGTACAACTTTGGATAAGGTTTTGTACAGAAATCTATACATAAAGCATATTTCAGTTTCGGCATCTTGCAACTATCAAATAAAAGGTTACCAACGATGTGCAGCTCTTTTAGTTGTTATCGAGAATGATTAGACCTCTTTAGTTTGGACTTTGGAGAGCCTCCCTCAGTTGAAAGTTATAGGAAATATTGTAATTTTGAGCTGAACGAGAAAGAGTTAAACATAGTGAAGGGTTATTTATCCGGAAGAAGAATCATGTAAGACAATCTCTCTGAGAGTTTGTGTGAAATAATTAGAAACAATACAGAACCAGTCTCTTCTTCTTTTCTGCATTGCATGCTATTATATCTCTAGTTTCCAGCGATTTTGCTAATGTTTGTCTGTTGGTGAGCAATGTCGAAGATATGATTAAGCAAATAAAAATACATTCTCTCTAACAATTTAACTTTTAGATGAGGTGATCAAAAAGATGAGGTGATCACGCTGTTTAACAAGCACGTGTGGCATAATTCCCCTGAATTAACTTACGTATCCTCTTTTCAATATCAGGGATATATGTTGATGATGGAGAAGTGATCCATTTCACCCCGACAGCTGGTCGGGAGATAGGAACAGGAACAGTCCTCGATCGTTACATCTTTAGCTCATCTCTCTCTCGTCGCCCTGTATCCCACTGTCCAACATGTGGTGATCGACCAAGGAATGATGGGGTCATCTCTTCATGCCTTGAATGCTTCCTCTCTGGTGGTAAACTATATCGTTTTCAATATGGTGTATCGCCAGGTTTCTTTCTTGCCCAAGTGCGAGGAACATGCACCTTTGCTCGTTCTGATTCCCAAGAGGATGTCCTCCTCCGCGCTGAAATTCTTCTTGGTAACGGTTTTGGAAATTACAACCTTTTCAAGAACAACTGTGAGGATTTTGCAATCTACTGCAAGACGGGTTATCTGCTCCTGAGAAATGTGGGCATAGGGCGCAGTGGTCAGGCAGCGTCATTGGCTGCAGCAGCTAGTGCTTTCGCTTCATCACCAGTTCGCCTTATGCCTACGACTGGTCTTGCAGCTGTTGGTTGGGGAATTTACTGTGCTAATAGGTTTTTTTCTGATATTGGAGTCCACAGGGATGTGATGAAAATACCTGCAGAGAGGCTTGTTTCCCGTGATCGCCTTATAAGCATCTGAATCTGCATTACTCAAAATGGCTTTTTGGGACCAAATCTTGAATTTATTTAAGCAAGAATTATTGACATGGGATAGCCCGTATGATGTATATCTCACTATTCTTTTTCATTCGTGAGATACTGCTTATTATCAAACACCTTCCTGTGATTCTTTCCTTTCTATTTGGATCTATGTTGAAAGAACTTATCCTGCAAAATTTGCTGCAGGCATATCATTTGGTGAAAAATGCTAGTCTAAGCATCAGTATTCAGTATTGCCTGTCTTTTGATTTGATTTTTGTGGCTAATTACTGTAATTTCTCTCCCTCAATATTATGCTACAGGTGCGGCGAAGCTACAACCAGCGAGCAGAGGTGGATGTAGAGTTATAACACCGGGTTCAACTGAACCCGGTGTTATAACGTAGAGTATAAATTTATAGATAAAAATTTATAAAAATTGTAACAAATAGTAGGTTTGAACCCATAATTTGAAAATACAATGGATTCATAGTAAAAAATCTTCAGGATTGAACCCATAAAACTTAAATCTTGCATCCGCCTCTGCCAACGAGGGTGGTCCGTTAAGGTTACATGTTAATTCTTTTGTACATAAAATCTTGAATATCGATCCTTAAATATTCTAAGCGAAATTTTTGGCTTCGTCAATGTGCTATGACAATAGTCAATTGCACAAACAAGTAGTGTGGATGCCCATTGTTAAGATATATGATTCGGACTCAGTCCATTAATTTTGCTCCTGCATTGCTCCACAAGCTCCGTCTTTGTGTGAGCTTTATAAGTACAACCGAGTCCAATCTGAATTAAGTTGCTTCACTAATTGTCAATAGTTTAGATTAATGGCATGTTCTAAAGACTAGGATGCTGCTGTTTTATCTCTACTGGTTTCTGAGTGTCCCATATCAATTAGTACAACAGTTGGTCGGTGGGATGAGCTAATGTTTTTCATTATTTGTAAACATTTTATTTGAAAGCGGAAGAAGATCAAAATTTTAGCAGCAGTCATTCAAAGTACAATTTTTTTCCCCAATATTTTTTATTACTTTTTGGATAAATTTCTAATATCCGTCTTTTTAATAAAATGTCAAGTTTTTTGCAAAAGTAATCTAAATGTTATGCTTTTGGGTAATTTCTTTTTAAAACACTTTAACGTTTAAGTTCTCGAAGAAAAAGACAGAAAAACACTACAAATATTTCTTGGGAAATTCTATTCTCTTTCACTACTAAAAACTGTGGAAAACCGATTACCAAAACCAACCGATGTTGGTCGGTAATTGGCAAAAATCGACCGATTCGTAGCGGTCGATAATCGTATGGTCGGTAGAGCCAACTGATCGACTTCGGTCGGTATTTTCCGACCGATTTCGGTTGGTCAATTAAATTTCAAAACAAAAGAAAAATTACCGAAAAAACCGACCCAAGTTGGTCGGTACTTTTAATTTTGTAATTAAAAAATGCACCATATGAGAATCGAATCAGGGTATGTACTGTAGCAGCAAGATACTATTCTACCAGTAGACTATTGGTGTATTGTATTTTAAGACTGTCTTTTATTTCATTTACTCTTTAAGTGCATTTTCGCGCGAAAAAAAAAATGATCGATATTGGTTGAGTTTTTAAAATGACCGGCCGAATTAACTTACCGACTTCAATTGGTTTTTTGAATATTAATTCTATTTTTTTTTAAATGAAAAACAGTCAAAGTTGACCGGTTTCTTGAACATTGAGGGGTGTCTCCAAATTCAGAAACAAATGGCGCCCAATATGCTTGTATCAACTCAAAATAATATCAAACATTAACATAACTCTTGCCGCCAACCAAAACTTTCTCAATAAGTTATTAGTTAGACAGCAATATACACCAAATATTTCAAAGTTATCGTGTAATATATGCGAAAGTTCATTTCACACATTGTCTGGGTACTGGGTTCTTTCCATACCCTTAAGATCTTGGCCATAGTTGAGCCACACGCTACTAACAATCTCACTGACCACAGAGAAAGCCAGATCAAGCTTCATGTCAAGCCCATTTTAGTCTACTCCTATACCCAAACCCACCTCTTCCACAAAGGCCCCCAAAATGAATAGAGCAATCAAGGTCAAAACACGTTACCTATCATAACTCCAATTATCAAATCGAGGTATCTATTATGAATTGCCAACTACAGCATTGATACCTAAGGAAGAGGTTTGAGGTAAGATTATGTGATGATATTGCTGATGCTGATGGAAGATACCACAACAGTTTGTGTGATAAGCCATGAACTATCATGTTACAAGCCTATTTTGATGAACACACTTGAAAAGCAATCCTTTCTTGATTGTGTTGTGGTGGCAAGGTAGATCATTGGCATTAGAGGAGATGCACAGAGGAAGAGCAGCAATAAGTGTTCAGTCTCTTGACAAGAAGCGTAAACAGAGTGGACTGCTCTAGATGCCTACATCACCTTTAATTGTACACAGCACATATTCTATACCAACAGTCCAGAGAAAAAAGATATTCTGGAGCTCCCTTCAACTCTCTGTAAAGACACTGCGAGCAAACCTGCAACAGAGTTGGAAATTACAACTCTAGTGCATGGATCATGTTGGTAGCCACTTTAGATACTTCCAACAAAGTCCTATCGAAAGCACACAGATATAATTTTCCTTAGTTCGGTATCACCTTTCAACTATCACTTTTAACACAAGGAGTAGCACATTGGACAAGACCAAAGGCGTATACAGGATTTGAACTTTATGGGTTCAAGTTCGAAATTCTATCACCCCTCATTTTGATTTACTGAGTTTCAAATCAATTAGTTGTTTTATCACATATACAAGGTCCAATGCAAAACTACTTAGTTCGGATGAACCCGTAGATTTAACAGTCTATATCCGCCTCTGGACAAAACATCACATTAACAGAAAATAAAGATGCTCAATATCCAAATGCAAGAGGTAAAACATCATAATCGTGATATTTGTTCATCGTGATACACTATATATTACCCAATGAAAATGGAGTTCGAGCTGCTCCATGACACTATTACAGTTATTTAATAGACCTTCACATGATCTGCGACATTTCAATACTAATATGAACAACAAAGTCACAGTACAATTCAACGCATTTGCTCATCAAATTTCGAAGCATCAATAACAAATGCATTCACGTAATTACACACCGCTTATACTACTTCTTTAGCCGGAGCAGCAGCTTTCTTCAACTCAGTATCCACAACCTTAGTCGGAATCGCCACGTATCCCATCTTCTTAGGACTAACGTCATCATCACTGTCATCCTCGGAATCCTCAAAATCAAAGCGATTAGGCCAGAAAAGGGACCAGATCAAGTACATCGTTGTGATACGAGCTGAGCTAAGTAGCAGAAAATGAGAAGAAATGCAAGAAAAGCAATAGAACCGTAATTGAAAGAAGGAAACATAAGAATGAAAAACACATAAGGAAGCTAAATTAGAGGAGCAAAAATAAGGGTTTTGTATATTGATACCTTGAAAAGAGAAGATCATTAAAATATATAGTATTGCAACCCTAAATGCCTTAGTTGGCACTGTACGATCGAGGCCCAGAATTAGAAACAAAGCCGGACCTAATATGATTTGATAACCTAAATGTGTGGGGTCAATGTGTAATTACTATAACTACAACTTAAAAGTAAAAGGGACTAAACTGGCTTTCGTGCAAACTTCCCCTAACCTCCTTCCCAACTGATTATAACGGCTACGTACACCTGCGCAAGCACAAGGTATCATAGCATGAAGCTCATCTCTATTGAATTCGTATCAGATCCCCCTCGTTAAAATCTCCCTTGTCCTCAAGGAAGAAATGTAGGAAACCTGATTTTGAGAGATTGGTAGTCCTCCCAAGTGGCTTGATCTGGCGCTGCTTTATCCCATTGAACCAACACTTGCGCAACAACCTTGTTTCCCTTTTGGATCATCCTTCTATCGAGAATCTGCTGAGGTTAAGAGCAGTATGGACTGGATATATCGATTATTGGTGGGTGTGAAATGGTGTCAGGTAGCTTATAGCAGGGCTTAAGTTGGGATACATGGAATGTGTGATGAAGTAAGAGCTGAGAAGGCATGGATAGCTTATATGCTACATCACCAACCTTTTGCAAGATTTAGTAAGGACCATAGTATTTTGCTGAGAGTTTGGAGAAGTGAGTTCCTGAAAGTGTCACTTGTCTATAAGGCTGTATCTCGAGGTAAACCCAGCTCCCTTATTTGAATTGCCTATCACTTCTATGTTTATTGGCTTGATCAGCCATTCTCTGTTGTGCTCTTTGTAAGTGATACTGCAACAACTGGTATTTGAATCCCCTTGTCAATAAACTTCTGTCCACCTCTTCCATAGCTGAATCACCTGCCATGTATGGTAAGTGAAGTGGTGGAGGTTGGCCATAAAGAGCCTCATAAGGGGTGGTCTGAATTGAGGAGTGAAAAGTAGTGTTATACCACCACTCAACTGCTGCTAAATAAGAGGACCAATCCTTTTGAGAATTAGAGCAAAAGCACCTAAGATAGGTCTCCAAACACCTGTTAACAACTTCTGTCTTTCCATCAGACTGCGGGTGGTAGGCTGTAGAAGTGCTAAGAGTGACACCACTCATAGAGAACAACGCCTGCCACAGTCTACTAGTGAAGACATGATCCCTATCGCTCACTATATCTTCTGGCATGCCATGTAGTCTGAACACATATTCCATAAACAGCTTTGCAATGTCAGTGGCAGTATAAGGATGGGTCACTCCTATGAAGTGAGCATACTTGGTTAATATATCTACCACCACCCATATAAATGTCTTCCCTCTAGCCTTAGGCAACCCTTCAATAAAATCCATTCTAATACTGCTCCAAGCCAATGAGGGAATCTTGAGTGGTTGTAGTAGTCCAGGATAAGGTACTATCTCATACTTGTGCCTCTGGCATGTGTCACATTCCTTGACATATGTCATTACATCTTCCTTCATTGCTCTCCAATATAAGAGTTCAACTATTCTTCTGTAGGTATAATCTATGCCTGAGTGACCTCCGGTAGGGGAATCATGCCATAGTTTCAAGATATCCTTTCTCAGTTGCTCATAAGGTCCTACCACTAACTTCCCATTTCTTATTAACTTATTGTGCATAAAGGTGTACCCTTTTGATGCTCC